CAGCGTGGCGCTGGTGAGCGCCACGCAGCGCGAGATCACCGCAGCTCGGCCCGCGTGGGCCTCCTGCAGCTGCGGGGGACACGTTGGTGTAGTGTATAGTGTAGTGTATAGTGTAGTGTATAGTGTGTAGTGTATAGTGTAGTGTAGTAGTGTAGTGTAGTGTGTAGTGTAGTAGTGTGTAGTTTAGTAGTGTATAGTGTGTAGTGTATAGTGTAGTGGTGTAGTGTAGTGGTGTAGTGTAGTGTGTAGTGTATAGTGTAGTGTATAGTGTAGTGTAGTAGTGTAGTGTATAGTGTAGTGTAGTAGTGTAGTGTAGTGTGTAGTGTAGTAGTGTGTAGTTTAGTAGTGTATAGTGTGTAGTGTATAGTGTAGTGGTGTAGTGTAGTGGTGTAGTGTAGTGTGTAGTGTATAGTGTAGTGTATAGTGTAGTGTAGTAGTGTAGTGTATAGTGTAGTGTGTAGTGTAGTAGTGTGTAGTGTATAGTAGTGTAGTGTATAGTGTAGTGTATAGTGTAGTGTGTAGTGGTGTATAGTGTAGTGTATAGTGTAGTGTATAGTGTAGTGTATAGTGTAGTGTATAGTGTAGTGTATAGTGTAGTGTATAGTGTAGTGTATAGTGTAGTGTGTAGTGTAGTGTATAGTGTAGTGTATAGTAGTGTAGTGTATAGTGTAGTAGTGTAGTGTAGTAGTGTGTAGTGTAGTGTATAGTGTAGTAGTGTAGTGTAGTAGTGTGTAGTGTAGTGTAGTGTGTAGTGTATAGTGTAGTGTATAGTGTAGTGTAGTAGTGTAGTGTGTAGTGTAGTCTAGTAGTGTGTAGTGTAGTAGTGTGTAGTGTAGTGTGTAGTGTAGTGTATAGTGTAGTGTAGTAGTGTGTAGTGTATAGTGTAGTGTGTAGTGTATAGTGTAGTCTAGTAGTGTGTAGTGTAGTAGTGTAGTGTAGTGGAGTGTGTAGTGTAGTGTGTAGTGTAGTGTATAGTGTAGAGTGTAGTGTGTAGTGTAGTGTATAGTGTAGTGTGTAGTGTAGTGTATAGTAGTGTATAGTGTAGTGTGTAGTCTAGTGTATAGTGTAGTAGTGTAGTGTATAGTGTAGTGTAGTGTGTAGTGTTTGACGGTGGGGATGGTGTTCTTTGGGTCATAGGCAGCATTCCTCCTCCTCCAAACACGGCGAGTTGAGTTGATGCCAAAGAGCTCCATTTTGGCCTCATCTGACCACAACACTTTCACCCAGTTGTCCTCTGAATCATTCAGATGTTCATTGGCAAACTTCAGACGGGCATGTATATCTGCTTTCTTGAGCAGGGGGACCTTGCGGGCGCTGCAGGATTTCAGTCCTTCACGGCGTAGTGTGTTACCAATTGTTTTCTTGGTGACTGTGGTCCCAGCTGCCTTGAGATCATTGACAAGATCCTCCCGTGTAGTTCTGGGCTGATTCCTCACCTTTCTCATGATCATTGCAACTCCACGAGGCGAGATCCTGCATGGAGCCCCAGGCCGAGGGAGATTGACAGTTCTTTTGTGTTTCTTCCATTTGCGAATAATCGCACCAACTGTTGTCACCTTCTCACCAAGCTGCTTTGGCAATGGTCTTGTAGCCCATTCCAGCCTTGTGTAGGTCTACAATCTTGTCCCTGACATCCTTGGAGAGCTCTTTGGTCTTGGCCATGGTGGAGAGTTTGGAATCTGATTGATTGATTGCTTCTCTGGACAGGTGCCTTTTATACAGGTAACAAGCTGAGATTAGGAGCACTCCCTTTAAGAATGTGCTCTTAATCTCAGCTCGTTACCTGTATAAAAGACACCTGGGAGCCAGAAATCTTTATGATTTAGAGGGTGTCAAATACTTATTTCCCTCATTAAAACCCAAATCAATTTATAACATTTTTGACATGCGTTTTTCTGGATTTTTCGTTGTTGTGGTTGTTGTTGTTATTCCGTCTCTCACTGTTCAAATAAACCTACCGTCAAAATGACAGACTCATCCTTTCTTCGTCAGTGGGGCAAACGTACAAAATCGGCAGGGGATCAAATGCGTTTTTCCCCCCCCCCCCCCCCCCTCGCTGTACGCTGAACATCTCCGTCACTGTCCGTCGCCATGCGTCCTAACGAGTGTGGATCCTTGACTGCCTGCGAGGATCCACACTCTCAGGTTCCGTTCGGTAAAGTTCGTCCCCGACGGTCCCGTTCCCTCTTCCTGAAGAAGGAACCGCTTTGCCGTTTTCGGCCCGAAAAACGCAAAGCGGTTCCTGCCGCCCTATTTCCTTAGTCAGCCACGCGGCTCTGCCCGGAGCGGAACCCGGGGTGGGGGGGGTGGGGGGGGGGGGGGGCGGGGGGGGGGGGGGGGCGTCGCCGCGCGTCCCGATCGTAGCGCCGCACGGCACTCACGGTAGGGGGGGGTTTAGTGGACGCTGAGACGCAAAGCACAACCCCTGTTGCGGGCCAGGAATGAACCATTCATAAGTGCCTCGGACAGTCTGTGTGTTGTGTGGGGTCCCGGGGTACTGCCATGAAGATCGTAGAGCGGAGACACGAAGACAAGGGTGGTGGTGGTGATGGTGGTGGTGGTGGTGGTGATGCTGGTGGTGATGGTGGAGGTGGTAGTGGTGATGGTGGTGGTTGTGTTGGTGGTGATGGTGATGGTGGTTGTGGTGATGGTGGTGGTGATGGTGGTGATGGTGGTGGTGGTGATGGTGGTGGTTGTGTTGGTGGTGATGGTGATGGTGGTTGTGGTGATGGTGGTGGTGATGGTGGTGATGGTGGTGGTGGTGATGGTGGTGGTGGTGATGGTGGTGATGGTGGTGGTGGTGATGGTGGTGATGGTGGTGGTGGTGGTGATGGTTGTGGTGGTGGTGATGGTGGTGATGGTGGTGGTGGTGGTGATGGTTGTGGTGGTGGTGGGGGTGATGGTGGTTGTGGTGGTGATGGTGGTGGTGGTGATGGTGGTGGTGGTGGTGATGGTGGTGGTGATTGTGGTGGTGATGGTGGTGGTGGTGGTGGGGGTGGTGGTGGTGGTGTTGGTGGTGGTGATGGTGGTGGTGATGGTGGTGGTGGTGGTGATGGTGGTGGTGGTGGTGGTGATGGTGGTGGTGGTGTTGATGGTGGTGGTGGTGGGGGTGGTGGTGGTGATGGTGGTGGTGATGGTGGGGGTGGTGGTGATGGTGGTGGTGGGGGTGGTGGTGGTGGGGGTGGTGGTGATGGGGGTGGTGGTGATGGTGGTGGTGATGGTTGTGGTGGTGATGGTGGTGGTGGTGATGGTGGTGGTGGTGGTGGTTGTGGTGATGGTGGTGGTGATGGTGGTGGTTGTGGTGGTGGTGGTGATGGTGGTGATGGTGGTGATGGTGGTGGTGATGGTGATGGTGGTGGTTGTGGTGGTGGTGGTGATGGTGGTGGTGATGGTGGTGGTGATGGTGGTGATGGTGGTGGTGGAGGTGGTGATGGTGGTGGGGGTGGTGGTGGTGGTGGTGGTGATGGTGGTGGTGGTGATGGTGGTGATGGTGGTGGTGGGGGTGGTGGTGGTTGTGGTGATGGTGGTGATGGTGGTGCTGGTGGTGGTTGTGGTGGTGGTGGTGATGGTGGTGGTGGTGATGGTGGTGGTGATGGAGGTGGTGATGGTGGTGGAGGTGGTGGTGATGGTGGTGGTGTTGATGGTGGTGGTGATGGTGGTGGTGGTTGTGGTGGTGGTGGTGGTGATGGTGGTGGTGGTGGTGATGGTGGTGGTGATGGAGGTGGTGGTGATGGTGGTGGAGGTGGTGGTGATGGTGGTGATGGTGGTGGTGGTGGTGGGGGTGGTGGTGGTGATTGTGGTGGTGATGGTGCTGGTGGTGGTGATGGTGGTGGTGGTGATGATGGTAGTGATGGTGGTGGTGGTAGTGGTGATGGTGGTGGTGGTGGTGGGGGTGGTGGTGGTGGGGGTGGTGGTGGTGGTGGTTGTGGTGGTGATGGTGGTGGTTGTGGTGGTGATGGTGGTGGTGGTGATGGTGGCTATGATGGTGGTGGTGTTGATGGTGGTGGTGGTTGTGGTGATGGTGGTGATGGTGGTGGTGATGGTGGTGGTTGTGGTGGTGGTGGTGGTGATGGAGGTGGTGGTGATGGTGGTGGAGGTGGTGGTGATGGTGGTGGTGGTGGTGGTGATGGTGGTGGTGGTGATGGTGGTGTTGGTGGTGGGGGTGGTGGTGGTTGTGGTGGTGGTGGTGGTGGTGATGGTGGTGGTGATGGAGGTGATGGTGGTGGAGGTGGTGGTGATGGTGGTGGTGGTGGTGGTGATGGTGGTGGTGGTGGTGATGATGGTAGTGATGGTGGTGGTGGTAGTGGTGATGGTGGTGGTGGTGGTGGTAGGGGTGGTGGTGGTGGTTGTGGTGGTGATGGTGGTGGTGGTGTTGGTGGTGATGGTGGTGGTGGTGGTGATGGTGGTGGTGATGGTGGTGGTGATGGTGGTGGTGATGGTGGTGATGGTAGTGGTGATGGTAGTGATGGTGGCTATGGTGGTGATGGTGGTGGTGATGGTGGTGGTGATGGTGGTGATGGTGTTGGTGGTGATGATATGGAGGAGGCTCGTGAAGGATGCTGCTGGGCAGTGCCAGGCTAGGTGCACCGTGAGGCTACTGGGCAGTTGGAGGCAGTCGCCCTCCAACAACAACGGAGGGCGGAGGAGCGACGCTCACAACAACGAGCGGAGCGCTGGGTGACTAAAGCACAGTAGGTTGGCACAGTAGGGGGCACAGGTGGTGCATCAGCCAGTCATCTTAGATGGTGGTTATGGTAGTGATGGTGATGGTAGTGATGGTGATGGTAGTAGTGGTGATGATGATGGTGGTGGTGATGGTAGTGATGGTAGCGATGGTGATGGTAGTGATGATGATAATGGGAGTGGTGAAGATGATGGTGGTGATGATGGTAGTGGTGACAGTAGTGATGGTAGTGACGGTAGTGATGGTGGCGATGGTGGCGATGGTGATGGTAGTGATGATGGTGATAGTGATGGTAGCGATGGTATTGATGATGGTGGTAGTGATGATGGTAATGGGAGTGGTGAAGATGATGGTGGTGATGATGGTAGTGGTGACAGTAGTGATGGTAGTGACGGTAGTGATGGTGGCGATGGTGGCGATGGTGGCGATGGTGATGGTAGTGATGATGGTGATAGTGATGGTAGCGATGGTATTGATGATGGTGGTAGTGATGGTAGCCATGGTGATGGTAGTGATGGTAGTGATGGCGATGGTAGTGATGGTAGTGGTGATAGTGATGGTAGCGATGGTATTGATGATGGTGGTAGTGATGGTAGTGATGGTAGTAATGATGTTAGTGATGGTAGTGATGATGGTGGTAGCGATGGTAGTGATGATGATGGTGGTAGTGATAGTGATGGTAGCGATGGTAGTGATGGTAGTGATGGTGATGGTAGTGATGGTAGTGATGGTGATGGTAGTGATGTTGGTTGATGGTAGTGATGGTAGTGATGATGGTGATGTTGGTAGTGATGTTGGTAGTGATGATAGTGATGGTAGTGATGGTAGTGATGGTAGTAGTGGTGGTGGTGATGGTAGTGATGATGGTGATGATGGTAGTGATGGTAGTGATGATGGTGGTAGTGATGGTAGTGATGGTATTGATGGTAGTGATGGTGGTAGTGATGGTGGTGATGGTGGTGATGGTAGTGATGGTAGTGATGGTGATGGTAGTGATGGTGGTGTTGGTAGTGATAGTAGTGATGATGGTAGTGATGGTATTGATGGTAGTGATGGTGGTAGTGATGGTAGTGATGGTGGTGATGGTAGTGATGGTGATGGTAGTGATGGTGGTGTTGGTAGTGATAGTAGTGATGATGGTAGTGATGGTGTTGGTAGTGATGGTGTTGGTGGTGAGAGTGACTCACGGCCGAGTGGAGCTGCCCACAGGTGTGTAGTGATGGTGGTGGTAGTGATGGTGTTGTTGGTAGTGTTGGTAGTGATGGTGGTGATGGTAGTGATGGTGGTAGTGATGGTGGTAGTGGTAGTGATGGTGGTAGTGATGGTAGTAGTGGTAGTGATGGTGGTAGTGATGGTGGTAGTGATGGTGGTAGTGGTAGTGATGGTGGTAGTGATGGTAGTGATGATGGTAGTGATGATGATGGTAGTGATTGTAGTGTTGGTAGTGATGGTAGTGATGATGTTGGTGGTGATGGTAGTGATGGTGATGGTGGTAGTGATGGTGGTAGTGATGGTGATGGTGGTAGTGATGGTAGTGATGATGATGATGGTAGTGATGGTGTTGGTGGTGAGGGCGACTCACGGCCGAGTGGAGCTGCCCACAGGTGTGTGCCAGGTTGACGGCACGGGCGATGGAGGCGGTGGGCACGGAAGCGTTCAGCTCGTGGGCAATGCGGTCGTCGATCTGACGCATGGAGCGGAGCGCCTCCTGAACACGGACACAAAGTACCCCGCTCACTCACCACTCACTCACTCACTCACCCACTTACTCACCCACTCACTCAACCACTCAACCACTCACTCAGTCACTCACCCACTCACTCACTCAACCACTCACTCACTCACTCAACCACTCACTCACTCACTCAACCACTCACTCACTCAACCACTCAACCACTCACTCAACCACTCACCCACTCACTCAACTACTCACTCACTCACTCAACCACTCACCCACTCACTCAACCACTCACTCACTCACTAAACCACTCAACCACTCACTCACTCACCCACTCAACCACTCACTCAACCACTCACTCACTCACTCACCCACTCACTCACTCACCCACTCACTCACTCAACAACTCACTAAATCACTCACTCAACCACTCACTCACTCACTCAACCACTCACTCAACCACTCACTCAACCACTCACTCAACCACTCACCCACTCACTCAGTCACTCACTTACTCAACCACTCACTCACTCGACCACTCACTCACCCACTCACTCACCACTCACTCATTCAACCACTCACTCACTCACCCACTCACTCACCCACTGACTCACTCACCCACTCACTCACTCACTCAACCACTCACTCAATCACTCACTCACTCACTCAACCACTCACTCACTCAACCACTCACTCACTCAACCACTCAGTCAATCACTCACTCACTCAACCACTCACTCACCCACTCAATCACTCACTCAACCACTCACTCAACCACTCACTCACCACTCACTCACTCAACCACTCACTTACTCAACCACTCAACCACTCACTCAATCACTCACTCACCCACTCACTCAACCACTCACTCAGTCAATCACTCACTCACTCAACCACTCACTCACCACTCACTCACTCAACCACTCACTCACTCAACCACTCACTCAACCACTCACCCACTCACTCACTCACTCAACCACTCACCCACTCACTCAACCACTCACTCACCACTCACTCACTCACTCACCCACTCACTCACTCAACCACTCACTCACTCAACCACTCACTCACTCAACCAATCACTCACTCAACCACTCACTCAACCACTCACCCACTCACTCACTCACCCACTCACTCACTCAACCACTCACTCACTCAACCACTCACTCACCCACTCACTCACTCAACCACTCACTCACCCACTCACTCAACCACTCACTCACCCACCCACTCACTAACCCACTCACTCACTCACCCACCCACTCACTCAACCACTCACCCACTCACTCACTCACCCACTCACTCAACCACTCACTCACCCACTCACTCACTCAACCTCTCACTCAACCACTCACTCACTCAACCACTCACTCACCCACTCACTCACTCACTCTTTCAATCACTCACCCACCCACTCACGCACTCACCCACACACTCTTTCAATCACTCACCCACTCACTCACTCTTTCAATCACTCACCCACTCACTCATTCACCCACCCACTCACGCACTCACCCACCCACTCTTTCAATCACTCACCCACTCACTCACTCACCCACTCACTCACCCACTCACTCACCCACTCTTTCAATCACTCACCCACTCACTCACTCACCCACTCACTCACCCACTCACTCACCCACTCACTCACTCACCCACTCACCCACCCACTCTTTGAATCACCCGCCTACTCCCGCCTGCCCCACCCACCCACACGATCCACGCGACCTTCAGGGGTCAAGGGGACACGTGCTAGCGTTGATAGCGGTGTCGCAACACAGCCCGTGGTGTGTCTCACTAGCAGTGTCTCACTACCCAGTATCTCACTACCCAGTGTCTCACTAGCAGTGTCTCACTACCCAGTGTCTCACTACCCAGTGTCTCACTACCCAGTGTCTCACTAGCAGTGTCTCACTACCCAGTGTCTCACTACCCAGTGTCTCACTACCCAGTGTCTCACTACCCAGTGTCTCACTACCCAGTGTCTCACTACCCAGTGTCTCACTATCCAGTGTCTCACTACCCAGTGTCTAACTACCCAGTGTCTCACTACCCAGTGTCTCACTAGCAGTGTCTCACTACCCAGTGTCTCACTACCCAGTGTCTAACTACCCAGTGTCTCACTACCCAGTGTCTCACTACCCAGTGTCTCACTACTCAGTGTCTCACTAGCAGTGTCTCACTACCCAGTGTCTCACTACCCAGTGTCTAACTACCCAGTGTCTCACTACCCAGTGTCTCACTAGCAGTGTCTCATTACCCAGTGTCTCACTAGCAGTGTCTCACTAGCAGTGTCTAACTACCCAGTGTCTCACTACCCAGTGTCTCACTAGCAGTGTCTCACTACCCAGTGTCTCACTAGCAGTGTCTCACTAGCAGTGTCTCATTACCCAGTGTCTAACTACCCAGTGTCTCACTACCCAGTGTCTCACTACCCAGTGTCTCACTACCCAGTGTCTAACTACCCAGTGTCTCACTACCCAGTGTCTCACTAGCAGTGTCTCACTACCCAGTGTCTCACTACCCAGTGTCTCACTACCCAGTGTCTCACTACCCAGTGTCTCACTACCCAGTGTCTCACTACCCAGTGTCTAACTACCCAGTGTCTCACTACCCAGTGTCTCACTACCCAGTGTCTCACTACCCAGTGTCTCACTACCCAGTGTCTCACTAGCAGTGTCTCACTACCCAGTGTCTCACTAGCAGTGTCTCACTACCCAGTGTCTCACTACCCAGTGTCTCACTACCCAGTGTCTCACTACCCAGTGTCTCACTAGCAGTGTCTCACTACCCAGTGTCTCACTACCCAGTGTCTCACTACCCAGTGTCTCACTACCCAGTGTCTCACTACCCAGTGTCTCACTACCCAGTGTCTCACTACCCAGTGTCTCACTAGCAGTGTCTCACTAGCAGTGTCTCACTACCCAGTGTCTCACTACCCAGTGTCTCACTACCCAGTGTCTAACTACCCAGTGTCTCACTACGAGTGTCTCACTACCCAGTGTCTCACTACGAGTGTCTCACTACCCAGCGTCTCACTACCCAGTGTCTCACTAGCAGTGTCTCACTACCCAGTGTCTCACTACCCAGTGTCTCACTACCCAGTGTCTCACTACCCAGAGTCTCACTACCCAGTGTCTCACTAGCAGTGTCTCACTACCCAGTGTCTAACTACCCAGTGTCTCACTACCCAGTGTCTCACTACCCAGTGTCTCACTACCCAGTGTCTCACTACCAGTGTCTCACTACCCAGTGTCTAACTACCCAGTGTCTCACTACCTAGTGTCTCACTACCCAGTGTCTCACTAGCCAGTGTCTCACTACCCAGTGTCTCACTAGCAGTGTCTCACTACCCAGTGTCTCACTACCCAGTGTCTCACTAGCAGTGTCTCACTAGCAGTGTCTCACTACCCAGTGTCTCACTACCCAGTGTCTAACTACCCAGTGTCTCAATACCCAGTGTCTCACTACCCAATGTCTTACTACCCAGTGTCTAACTACCCAGTGTCTCACTACCCAGTGTCTCACTACCCAGTGTCTCACTACCCAGTGTCTCACTAGCAGTGTCTCACTACCCAGTGTCTCACTACCCAGTGTCTCACTACCCAGTGTCTCACTACCCAGTGTCTCACTACCCAGTGTCTCACTACCCAGTGTCTCACTACCCAGTGTCTCACTAGCAGTGTCTCACTAGCAGTGTCTCACTACCCAGTGTCTCACTACCCAGTGTCTCACTACCCAGTGTCTAACTACCCAGTGTCTCACTACGAGTGTCTCACTACCCAGTGTCTCACTACGAGTGTCTCACTACCCAGAGTCTCACTACCCAGTGTCTCACTAGCAGTGTCTCACTACCCAGTGTCTCACTACCCAGTGTCTCACTACCCAGTGTCTCACTACCCAGAGTCTCACTACCCAGTGTCTCACTAGCAGTGTCTCACTACCCAGTGTCTAACTACCCAGTGTCTCACTACCCAGTGTCTCACTACCCAGTGTCTCACTACCCAGTGTCTCACTACCAGTGTCTCACTACCCAGTGTCTAACTACCCAGTGTCTCACTACCTAGTGTCTCACTACCCAGTGTCTCACTAGCCAGTGTCTCACTACCCAGTGTCTCACTAGCAGTGTCTCACTACCCAGTGTCTCACTACCCAGTGTCTCACTAGCAGTGTCTCACTAGCAGTGTCTCACTACCCAGTGTCTCACTACCCAGTGTCTAACTACCCAGTGTCTCAATACCCAGTGTCTCACTACCCAATGTCTTACTACCCAGTGTCTAACTACCCAGTGTCTCACTACCCAGTGTCTCACTACCCAGTGTCTCACTACCCAGTGTCTCACTAGCAGTGTGTCACTAGCAGTGTCTAACTACCCAGTGTCTCACTACCCAGTGTCTCACTACCCAGTGTCTCACTAGCAGTGTCTCACTAGCAGTGTCTCACTACCCAGTGTCTAACTAGCAGTGTCTCACTACCCAGTGTCTCACTACCCAGTGTCTCACTAGCAGTGTCTCACTACCCAGTGTCTCACTAGCAGTGTCTCACTACCCAGTGTCTCACTAGCAGTGTCTCACTACCGAGTGTCTCACTACCCAGTGTCTCACTACCCAGTGTCTCACTACCCAGTGTCTCACTAGCAGTGTGTCACTAGCAGTGTCTAACTAGCAGTGTCTCACTACCCAGTGTCTCACTAGCAGTGTCTAACTACCCAGTGTCTCACTAGCAGTGTCTCACTACCCAGTGTCTCACTACCCAGTGTCTCACTAGCAGTGTCTCACTAGCAGTGTCTAACTACCCAGTGTCTCAATACCCAGTGTCTCACTACCCAGTGTCTCACTACCCAGTGTCTCACTAGCAGTGTCTCACTACCCAGTGTCTCACTACCCAGTGTCTCACTACGCCGTGTCTCACTACCCAGTGTCTAACTACCCAGTGTCTCACTACCCAGTGTCTCACTAGCAGTGTCTCACTATCCAGTGTCTCACTACCCAGTGTCTCACTAGCAGTGTCTCACTAGCAGTGTCTCACTA